TTCAAACTTTTAACTTGTGTAGTGAAACAAATCCAGACAACAAATAATAGCATACAATACAGCCTTTGAAAAATATAAATTAAACCTATTTTAAGGTCTACATATCTACAATGCCACCATTTCAGTTGATGACATCATCACTATTAATGCGTTCTATTGGGAAAAATGTCACTCATCAAACTGACGGCCAATGGGAGTTCTAGTAAGATCTGACCTCTGGGAGTCATTGTGTTAAAGGCAGTTTCTCCAAGAAGTGTAAATTTATCTTTTATATTTTCATTTTTATTTATGCAATTAAAAAAAAGGATAAAAAAATTAAATATGGATTGAAACAAACATCTGAGGCAGAAGGTGAAGCATAAAATCCAGTCGCCTACCAGCTCAGGATGGTTTGGAAGACCACAGTGTTTGCAGGGGTCGTCGTTTGGAGGTAGGTCGTCGTCAGAAGACGTGGAAGAGTCCGAGTTCCGCCTTTGTCTGTTCCGGTTCCTCCTTTTCCTGTTTCGCTCCACCTTGTAGTCTTCGTCGCTGTCGTCGTCTTCCTCCTCGCTCTCCTCCTCCTCGCTCTCCTCCTCCTCCTCGCTGTTTTCATGCTCGTCGTCGGAGCTTTTCTTTTTCCGGCGGGTTCGCGTGTTGGACCACCGCGTTCTCCGTCTTTTTCTCCCCTAAAAAACAAAGAAGATGAAGATTGGTAAAAATGAAATAAACATCCAACAAAATGGCTGCATTTTATTTTCCAATAAGAAATGATTCAAAGGTAACCATCTGTTGGTCTTACTTTAGGTTTGGACTGGTTCTCCTGATCGGCCTTTTTCTCTTTGGGTTTCCTTTGAACAGTTTTGACCTCTTCTTCTTCCTCCTCCTCCTCCTCTTCTGCTTTTCCGTCTTCTTCATCCTTGTGAGGCAGAGGAGCAGGCTGAGGCTTCTCTGCCTTTTTCTCCTGGACCTCCACGGCCTTCTGCGTTGGTCTGGAGATCCTCGGCGACCTCCTCAGACACCTCCCCGTGTTGGTGTCTGACTCAGAGTCTCCCTGACGCTCCTCTGCCTGGAGCTCGGCTCTCCTCCGGTGCACAGGGGGCTTGTTTCTTCGCCGTGCGCCCCCTTGAGACAGAGCGCTACCACCGTTCTGCACCCGGTCGTGTTTCCTATCACAGTCCTGCTCTGCAGGTGCATCGTCTGCTGCTCCTTTGGTTTGCTTTTCCTCCGCTTCTTTTGAGGATTCGGAGTCTGGGCTTGAATTTGTTGGCCTGGACTCCTCGTGGTTCGTTGAGGTTTTGTTTTGTTTCTGAACTTCTTGAACAGTTTTTTCACTTTTTTCCGGCTCGTCAATTAAAGAATCCCCTTCTTTCCCTTTGTCATTTAGAGCGCCTTTATTTTGAGAGTCGCTTTTGCTCTCATCGTTGGCGTCATCCTTGGACGGCGTCGCTTTCTCCTCTTCTTTCTTTTCGGCCTGCGTTTCAGTTTCCTTCAGGGGTTTTTCCTTCTCAGCAGGACTGGGCGGCTTCTCCGTCTGTTCACAGTCTCTGCCTGACTTGTGATCAGCCTTCTCTCTTTCATCACCGTCTTGTGCCTTCGTCAGATTGTGTTTATCGACAGATTGCTCTTCCTCAGTCGGCGTGGAAACGCATATCGTACCGTCTTTGCAGTTTAAATCCTTCTTTAAGCCTTCTGGCTTTTCTGAGCTCGTCTCTTTGACATCCTCGCTCTGCTTGATGAGCTGACATGATTCAGATTCGTCTTTTTTGACACAACTTGGCTCCTTTTTCTCCACCGATTTGTCCTTAATAACCCGGTTGTCTGTTTTGCCATCATCACATGGTAATGTAGTGGATTTGGACTCTGTAGATTTCTCCACATTATCCTCTGTGGGTTCTGGATCTTTCCCTGTAGGCTCCTTTTCTTCATGCTCTGTCTCGTTAGACTCCCTCTCTGATGTTTCGAGGTTTCCCTCCTTCCCTTTAGGTTCAGAGGAATCAGACTTGTTAACCACCGTCTCTGTATTAGCTGATTGTTTTCTCTGGTTCGACTCAGATGTGTCCATCTCCACACAGGATGACTTTCCCTCCGACTCTTCAGACTTTACTTCATGATTTAACTTGTCTAACTTGATTTTTTCATCCTCTTTCTCTGTGGTTGGTTTGATTGTAGAAGAATCTCCACCATCTGTAGATTTAGATGCTCCATTTGTTTCTGCCTCTTCCTGATTGGAGGGTTTCTCCCTGGTTTTAAATACAGACGCTGGTTGCGGGGAAGATTTCTGTGCTTCACTTTCTTCTCTTCTTGTCGAGTCATCCTGCAGTAATTTCGCCTCATCCGCAGCCGGAGGAACGTTTTCCTTGGATTTATCTGTATTAGGCTGCTCCTCAGCTTCTTTCTCTGCCTGCAGCAGAACTTCACCGTTAACCTGATCATTTCTTCTAGGAATCTTCTGCTCTAGACTCGACTCTGGGACCGATGGGTTTTGGATCGTTACAGTTCCGGGTTTCTCAAAGTCCTCAGTGAACTTCATGCCCCTTTTCTTCAGGGGGATTTTGGCCTGCTGGTCGTTTCTTGTGGGATGCTGGCTCTCCTCCAAGCCGCTCTTCTTTACCTCTTCTTTCACAGCTCCACAGGGGGGCGCTGGTTCGCTAAGTGCGGCTTTAGAGTCTGCCGGCTCCTCCGGCTCCGCTTTGATGCTCTGAGCTTTTGTGCTGATGTTTTCTGGGGTGATTTCTGGCTCCTGTTTAGCTTCGACAACGCCGTTTAGGGACAGACTGACCTCTGGTTTCACCTCAGAGTTTTTTGTTTCTTCATTTCTCTCTTTGTGGTCTTCATCTGATGTATCTTCAGTCTTTTTAGTGTCGCCTAAAAAAAAACAACAAACAAAAAAACAGGAAAAACAAAGTTTAGTTTGGAATCTTGTTTTTTACTATCACTTGAGGGAAGAAGAAAAAAGGTACATTAAGACTCTTGGGGCCCTCCTGATCTATTTTGTATGTATCTGTTGAGGACGCTGCTCATGTTTCAAAATACCAGCCCCGGTATTTGGAGTCTGCAGCAGCATGCTTTGATAAGTCAGGTCTCACATTAAAGGTCGACAAAACAGCTTCTTTCCCTCTGATCAAAAGCAATTTAAAGGAAAAGTCCTGTTATCGCACACGACCCATGTATGGAGGCCTTAGTCCTTGACGCAGGCGAGCAGGGTTCAAATCCAGCCTGTAGTCCTTTCCTTTCCTGACAGCCTACTGTCCATAAAAAAAGTGTCTGGGAGCGGCCATTTTTGCCCAAATATAGTAGCCCCTCCCTCCTGCCATCTTCC